CTTAGAGCTTTGTTTCAACGTCGCTCTCAATCGCCTCCCGGCTTCGTCCTCGAGTCCGATGCTGGGAGCTCATCCCCAATACCCTTCCATCTCTAATGCCTTGGTTGCCGCCTTCAAGCGTGCTCAGGCTCACCAAAGGCGTGGATCCATTGAAAACCAGCAGCAGCCACTCTTAGCAGTTAAGATAGAGCTGGAGCAGCTCATATATCTATTCTAGACGATCCTAGCGTGAGTAGAGTCATGAGGGAAGCTGGTTTCTCTAGTACACATGTCAAAAGCAACGTCGAACAAGCCGTTTCCTTAGAAATCTGTTCTCAAAACTCTCCTTCAGTAAACAGTAAATCCAAGGAAAGTAGCAACACTAATATAGTCCCCTCTCAATCTCCTACTGCTTCTCAAGCCGTAAACAACAAAGCAGGGAAACCAATCTGGTCAGATCCGATAATCAGGGACGAAGATGTCGTGTTTGTGATGGAAAATTTGATGAACGATAAGAGAAGAAGCTTTGTGGTCATAGGGGAGTGTGTTTCTACCATAGAAGGTGTTGTTAGAGCTGTGATTGACAAAGCTGATAAAGGAGACTTTCCAAAGTCTTTGAGAGATGCTATGTTTTTAAACCTTTCTTTCTCATCTTTTGGGCATCTGAATAGAGTTGAGGTTGAACAAAAGCTTGAAGAGTTAAAAAGAAATATTAGGAATTGTTTAGACTCAGGGATTGTTTTGAATCTGGGAGATCTCAGATGGGCTATCGAGTATAGGGCAAGTTCAAGTGAGCAAAGTAGGGGATATTACTGTCCAGTGGAACATATGATCTTGGGGCTTGGGAAACTGTTGGTATCTGATATTGGAGAGAGTGGAAGGTTTAAGCTCATGGGGTTTGCCACTTTTCAAACTTACATGAGATGCAAATCTGGCCATCCATCACTGGAAACTGTCTGGGGTTTGCATCCTCTAACGATTCCTGCAAACAGCTTACGCTTCAGTCTCATCACTCACGGGTAAAAAAAAACTAATCTTTGCATGAAGGTTTTGAAATATGTACATACTAGTTGTTGTTTTAACCTCTTTTTTGTTTCTCTTCAGCGATGGGCAAAGTCGGGATGGTAATGGAGGGGATGAGAAGCACCAGCTGAGTTGCTGTGCTGATTGCTCCGCCCAGTTTGAAAATGAAGTTCGAAGCTTGCAAAGCACAACATGTAACAGTGAGTCCACTACCTCGAGTCTCCCTCCATGGTGTAAACCATACAAGGATGGTGTTGGTACCAATGATAAGGTTATAATCACATTCCCCAAATATCTTCAAACAAAATTATTGTGTCCGAACCATACACAAAGTTGAAAGCTAACTTTTTTCTTTTGTTTTCATTGTTCCTTTTCTCTACTAGGACTCTGCCCCGGTCATAGAACTTTGCAAAAAGTGGAATTCGTTTTGCAATTCGGTCCATAAATTACAGCCATTTTCACTATCAGAAAGAACCCACACAATCTCTTCTCTTTCATCTCCTCCTTCCTCTACTTCTTGCTTTTCGAATGACAAGCAAAACCCTCAACTTCAACATCAACACCATGATTGGCCTGTGGTTGAACCTAGACAGTCTTGGAGAGATCACACCGGTTCTTTGAGATTATATATCCCAGAACATAATTTTAAGGACCCTAAAGTACACTTATCTTCAAACCCTAATTCCACCCCTAACTCAGCTTCTTCCGGTGATTTAATGGAGACAGAATATGTTCACAAGTTCAAGGAGCTAAATGCTGAGAACTTGACCACACTTTGCACTGCATTGGAAAAGAAGGTGCCATGGCAGAAGGATATAGTTCCGGAGATAGTGAGCACAATCTTAAAATGCAGGTCAGGGATGATACGAAGAAAAGGGAAGTTGAGGGATGGTGAGCCTAAAGAAGAAACCTGGTTGTTTTTCCAAGGTGCTGACCTTCAAGCTAAAGAGAAGATAGCGAAAGAGTTGGCTAGGCTTGTTTTCGGATCACAAAACAGCTTCGTTTCCATTGAATTAAGCAGTTTCTCGTCTACAAGAGCCGACTCGACGGATGATAGTCGAAGCAAGAGATCAAGAGACGAACAAAGTTGCAGTTACACCGACAGATTTTCAGAAGCAGTTTCGAGTAACCCGCATCGAGTGTTCTTCATTGAAGATATTGAGCAATCGGATTACAGCTCTCAAATGGGGTTCAAAAGAGCTATCGAGAGAGGAAGAATAAGCAAAGCAAATGGAGAAGATGCTATCCTTAGCGATGCTATCATCGTTTTGAGCTGCGAAAGCTTTAGCTCAAGATCAAGAGCTTGCTCTCCTCCTGGAAAGATAAAATTGGATGGTTTTTCCGAGGAAGAAAAAGTTTCTGCATCGGACGAGACAACTGGTCCCTGCGTGTCATTGGATTTGAATATGTCAATTGACGACGATAGTCTCGAAGAACAATCGATCCATGATATTGCGCTTCTTGAATCTGTTGACAGGAGGATCGTTTTCAAAATCCAAGAATTGTAGAGGATCAAAAAGGCCATAAACCCTTCACGTGTTTAACTTCATTTCGTTTTTCTTTTCTTCTTTCGTTCTAATTGCGTTTAGATTCTCAGGCATTCCTTAGGACTGGATTAATAGAAAATAGATTTTTCCTGCTTCTGTAAAGTTATGTTCATTGATCATCTTCTACTCTATTATCCGAAATCTACTCTGAAACATAAATCAAATTTCAGTCTTTTTTTTTCTAGTAGCGGTTAATTCTAACAAAATATTTATATTGACTACATCGACAAAAGAATCACAAAAGGGGATCAAACCACTTAAACAACATCGACAAATCGTAAATCAGAGCCGAGCAAAAACTATATGCGAATGCAAACCGCGTAATGAAATCCAATCCAATGACCCAAAGCAAGGAAAATCAACGGGATAACAAATAAACGTCATTCTGATTAATCAAGATGACATCAAATTAAACACTAAAAAAGGATAAACAAAAAGAATGGCCAGGCAACCTATAAAGGAAATTGAAAACGTGTCACAAAATAAAAAAAATATATCATAAAAGGAGAGTCGTTAATAACTAAAAAAGTAAATAAGAAGTAAAAACGTGATATAAAAATAAAAGAAAAATAAAAAAAACGACAATCGACAACTAGTATTAAAATTAATTCCGTGACAAGCCAAATAAAGATGAAAAAAAAACACGAACTAAACGACTTTGATGGTAAAATAATTGTTATTATTTCTTGAGGTCTCGAGTTCGAACACCAAGAATGCTAAGAGAGTGAACGTTCAATGTTAAATTATTAAAAGTTATCTTTGAATAGATATTGTGTTGTACTTACTTCAGATTAATAATAAAAAGCTTTAGGTTGGTTAAACTTTTGACAAAATAAAGTTCCGTATTTAAATCAAATCTCAATGTAAAACAAGAGTATATTTACTATTCGTATAAATTTTCAAATATTACTAAATTATTTTGATACAATAAATATATATAATAAAAGCAAAAAAAAAAACTTCATAATTTTTTTAAAATTTAGCCTTTATAACCCTGAAACTCCAATATTACCGTGAACGACTGAAGCTTAATGGTTTCGTGCATGCTTCGTGAGAAAATTAATATACCACAGATACTATACCAATTAAATTATCTCGGTTAAAGAGACGATTATTATCTCTGGAGGTATTAGGATAGAACATCAATTATTGCAGGGTTTGAAATTTTATTGTCAAATAATTAAGTATATATATACCACAGACAATTTATCTTTCCCACAGCACACGCTCGTTAAACTAGTTTATGTACTGGTATCGGATTAAACTCAAATAATGCATGAATCAAATGGTAATAATTATAACATTAACTTAAAAATTTCATTGGACCTTCGTAAAGTTCATTATTAGTATCTTTTTCTTTATGCACTTGTAAGTATTGAAATGGGTAAACTAGTATTAAGTTTTGGGCCAATGAGACAGTGCAAGAGCAGGTAAAGATTAAGGTATCGAATCTTTTAGTTTTCATATTTTATTTGAGTTTAAATCTTACTTTGCGTGAGTCCTCTTTAAATATATTACAATTATTTGTTCAGTTATAATTTATAACGATTAATTATGTTTTTAGTATGTTCTGCTTTGCATTACGTATAAGTATAATTGTAATTTATATTTGTAACATCAAGAAAAAAATATTTAACATTTTTAACTTGATTCTTCTTATTTTTTTTGTTCACATTAGTCTCTAAAGTTGGATTCTTTTTATCAATTTGATGTCATGATTCTATAAGATGGTGTCAAGTGGCATAGCATCAAAGTGTCAAAATATCTACACAATAGCAAAATAGACTTTTAGCGGCTTTTTTTTTGTCTTATAGTGCCTCTAAAAGTCCTCCCAACGATAGTAAAAGCGCCGCAAAAAAGGCCAATGAGCAGCACCGCAAAACTTAACGGTGTTTGTGAACATAAAACGCCGCAAAAGGTCATGTTATATAACGGCATTTTTCTCCCAAACGTCGCAAAATATCATGTTATATAGTGACGCTTTTCTTACAAACGCCACAAAAAATCATGCCAAATAGTGGCTTTTTTTTTCAAGCACCACAAAAGGTCATGGTATATAGTGACATTTTTTATCCCAAAAGCCTCAAAAGATCATGTTATATAGTGCCATTTTCACTACAAATGCCACAATTGATTACATATATAGTGGCATTTATATTAACAAATGCCGACATTGATCACATATATATTGGCGCTTTTTATTAACAAACGCCACTATAGACAAATGCCCAACAAGATATTCAAAATCATTTATTTTTCTTGATTTTCATTTCTTTTACTTTATTTTCTTTTTCCTGTACGACTTTTATTCCAAACAAAATAAAAAATAATACATTAACTTTCATTCCAAACCTTATATTTTACTTCAAATTTTGAGTCAAGCATTCGTACACCATCAATCATAGTGGAAATCGGCAAGCATACATGAGAAAATTTAAGTATGCGGGGCACACAAGGAAACGAAGGTTCACAGTGATGTACGATCGAAAGTTTAAATCGTTAGAGAAGATATCAGCTAGCGCATTGCATTAAGTTGAAGAAGCCCCAAAGGATACGTTCAATCAGAACTAACCGTGAGATGTTTAGAATTTTTACCAAGTCCACTCTTCAATAAATGAAGGACCTGCATCATTATAATTATTGTATTAAAGACAAGCATCCAGGTAAACAACTTTGAATATAATTCTCTATCCAAAAATAAACTTCCATAACACAGACAATTGTCAGTTTTCTCCATGACTAAGTTACAAATCGAACTCTATTGTTCTAATTGATTAGCAAGATTACAGTGTCTTACAAGCCAATTACAACAATCTTGCAACTAAGTACGAAAGTTTAAAAAAAGAGAGAGGAAAGGCAGTGCTGCAGAAGCTTATATATTTATATATATTTATATGAAAATAAGAACCAAATGTTTCTCAAGAAAGGAATTAATTAAATTAATCATTCCCTCATGACTAAAAGTTTATTGCCATTAAACGTTACACTAGAGAAGGGAATAACTATATTTTCCTTATCTCGTGATTACACCATGGAGATGAATGATAGTAAAGTTAATGGGAAAATTTTAACATAAGCCGTGGAAACTATACTGTCTTCAATTTTAATAATCATAGAAAAAAGAGAAAGAAAATCACTGATTATGAATACATAGAAACAGAATCAACCCAGCTAAACACAACTTCAAGTCAAAATCCAATAACTGTAAGCACATCAACATTTACGAAAACAAATTCCACATATAAAACGCAACCCATGAAGGATTAAACAATTAAGCTGGAAACGCCAACTATGAACAGAGACAACAATAAGTGCAATTATAAAAAAATGCAATGAGGAAAGCATACCTCAGAAAGAACCTTGAGCATCTGATCAATGCACCAAATTCTCTTTGAGGCAAACCTGAGGCAATAAAAATGATTGTTCATCAACTGGGCAATAATCCAAAGTAATCCAGAATAAATATTTCAACATCCCTCCATCAACAAAAATATACCTGAAAATACAGAGCCAAGAACATAAAGAATATAGAAGAAGATTACAAATATTATAGCATACAAAGACTAACAAACAGCATAACCTACTTTTCAACAAGGGAGCAAATCTTGGCAGTAAGAACTCCCTTAAATTCTTGATCTCTTGCTTTCGAATATTCAATTAACTCTTTTGTTAAAGGCTTCACATTGCTTTCACTCGTCAGCAAGTATTACATCAACTCTTTTGTTAAAGGTTTCACATTGCTTTCACTAAAGTCTAGCAAATAGACTCAATACTCACAAAACGACATTCATTTTTGTCTCTAAAAAGGTTGAATGCCACTACTATCCTTTTATATGTGATTTAGCTTCAATTATTGAAAATATTAACCATTTCAATCTTTGGAGGCTGATGCAACCAAAAAAATTGCCTAGACAAAGGTAGGTTACAGAACCGAAAAAAAAATGAAACAACAGTGGAGCACCACAAGCATATCATGTTTGGACATTTCAACAAACACATGGTAGCCTCTAACAAACACACGAAGGAATTTTCAAATTAAAGGCACAAAAAGGGGGTGACCTAGCTTTACCCACAATAAATTGAACATGATTATGGAAATAAAAAAGTAAAAATTCCAACTATACCTGGCCTGAGAAAGAAACAGAGTTGAGAGAAGAAAAAAATGTGCTGGAAGAACGTTGAAGGAGAGCCCCCATTACCGTTCGCGAACGTCAAAACTAAGATTAGGGGTGGCCTAGCTTTACCCACAATGAATTGAACATGATTATGGAAATAAAAAAGTAAAAATTTCAACTATACCTGGCCTGAGAAAGAACCAGGGTTGATAGAAGAAAAAAAGGAGCTAGAAGAACGTTGAAGGAGAGCCCCCATTGACATTTAGGGGTGTTGTGGTTGGTTTGAATCGGTTTTTGGTTAAAAAAAATTCAATATAAAAGTATAAATATTTGTGATTTAGATCGGTTTGGATGATTCTAAAAATAAATTGATTCGATCCGATCCAGTTAAGTGTGATTTGATTTTATTTGGATTTATGCGATTTTTAGATTCTAATTTTTCAAAATAATTTTTACAAGATTCTTACAGAGCACTGCCTGAAGAATTCGGCAAATGGGAGCTAGTTACAAATCTCACTAACTTGTATTTCAAGAATGGGTAACAATAAATAATTCTACACTGGATATGAATAAAGTTTAAAATTTCGAAGTCTGATACCTAATTTTTTTTTATACATTTCAGATTGTCAAGCTTAGATCCATAGACTCGCTGCACTGGAACTCAGAGTTCAACAGAATAAATGACAAGGCGTGTTGGTAATGCCTAATTTCTACTCTGACAAAACAATCTTTTGCACTTGGAAGCTCATAGAATCTAAAAAAAGACCTATCTGTTTGGATCTCTTATTTCGGGGCTGATAATGAAGATCCTGAATGAGATAAATAACATCACTAGACAGAAAATTTAAGATATGGAAAACCATACTACCAGTCCAAGCTCAACTTCCAGGAACAACTTTAATTTTGCATTGTGGACCTTATTTGATACCTCCCACAGTGTTCCAACCTATTGTGGCTGAGGATTTGATAATGGAGCATCATAGTTCTTGGTAAATGAGTTCTTTCCTAATGGCTTAGCTTGCTTTCGACTAAACATACCCTTGTTAATCCTCATGAAGAGTTTGTATTATCAAGAAAGCAAAACGAAAAAAAATTAAAAACTAGGGCCCACCACATTCGAACCAATAACCTCTTGATATATAGTCAAATGCTCTACCACTGAACTATGGACTAGGTTTGTTTCAAGCTTGTAAATTTAGTATTCTATTTCATTGGTTCGGTTCGGTTTGGATCGGTTCTGAATTTTTCAACCAAAACCGAATCGAACTGATCGATTTTTTTAAAAAAAACTAAACACACTAAATCGGTTTCGATTTTTTTCAGTTATCAGTTTTTTGGATCGGTTTTCGGTTATTTTTCTGAATCGGATTGGATCTGAACACCCCTATTGACGTTCGTAGCTTTGTCGAGAAAAACATAAAAGAGGGAAAGTAAGTGTGTGGTAAACTTAATATACTGTTAGAGAAATACGCTACTGAAAATGTTATTATTTTCTTAATATTTTTGGTAAAAATTAGTTAAAGTATTATTATTTCTACATAAATGAATGCTTTACTGAAAATGTTTAATATATTCGGTAAAGTACTACCTAAAATATTATTTTTTCTAATGAAAATGTTAAAAAAACATTAATGTTTTAGGCAAAAAAATAATGTTTTAGTTAATTTTTTACCGAAAATATTAAAAATATTAACATATTCGGTAGAGCTTTTCGTTAGCCGTATATTAAGGTTGTCGTACGGTAGAACTATCCCATAAAAGAAAAGAGGCAAAGTTGAAAGATCCTAATTTATCCTACAGGGTCCAAAAGACTTACGACATTTGATTTAAAAAAGTGAGATCGGTCTGAAGGGTTAGGGAGATAAAACTTTTAAAATTTACGACATTTTAAAACCTAAACGTTGTTAAAGCATTGAACTATTGCCGCGTTTGTAAAAAACGCTGCTAAAATACTACTCTGTCATGACGTTCTTGAAAAACGTCACTATGAATGAATCCTATTATGGCATTTGTATAAAAACGCCGTTAAAGTACTACTCTGTTGTGGCGTTTGTTGAAAAACACTACTATGTATGAACCATATTACGGCATTTTGTATAAAAACGTTGTTAACGTACTATTTTGCTATGACGTTTTGTATAAGAATACCGCTAAAGTTATCATTTTATGGTGTTTGAAATGCAAATGCCGTTACATATTTTAAGTTAGTGGCGTTTACTTTCAAAACACCGTTACATAACAATTTTACTTGGCTAAATGGTTAAAAATAAAAAAAATTGATAAGTTCAAGTATTGATGTGGACAAAAAAAAAAGTTAAGGTCAAGTCTAAAAAAAATATCAGTTTAAATGATTAAGTGTTACTTTATCCTCATTAGGAATATTTACCCAAAGTTAATTTAAATTTTTTTAATACTAAAAATTTATCATATATATTTTTTGGATGACTTAATTGAAAAACTGTCGCTTAATCTATAAACTTTTTTCAACTTGGTAATTTTTTTTAATTTTATCAACCTCTAATGATACCTTACAAAAGGAGATATGACTTAACTAAACCATGCCTAATCCAGAGAAAACTAAATCATTTACATTAAACGATAATTCACAATTTACAAGTCGAAATAAATCTCCAAATGCTCAATCAAACTCCTCAAATACTCAAATCAGTAGAAACTTTGTTGAATAATCCAACTTGGTACTTAAACTTAGTGAAAGATGTTTCTCAAACAGCCTTCTTTTGTGTTCTTGTCGATTTTTATCGTTGGTTGTTGGATTTGTATCTCGTGAATTTGTTTCTTTTACCGAGTTATGTTGAACTATTTTTCTTCATATAGATTTAGGAAGGCTTTTAACGAGACACACAACTTTAGTTTTGAGGTTTTTTAACTCTTAATAAAAAATATATTTGCCGAAAAAAAGGCCTACTTTCACAGTTGCAGTTTTGTAAATCTTCTTTGGGCTTTCAGAAATGGGTCCCTGTGCCTTTTGTTTTTGTTTTTTGTTCTTGAATGATTCTACGCAAAGATACCTTGATAGTAATGTTTTAGAGACGCAAATGGGATGCTTCCACTCAGAGTCTGTATATAATCAAAATGGGGATAAGAATCATTTCTAAGGTATCAAATTAGATTAAGATATTTTGTTAGTAATCCAAAACGATTTGATGCTAATTATTATTTAAACGTAGTAATGATAACTTTTTCATCTTTGAGCTTTAGTCAATGTTAAGGTATCAATATCAATGCCTACCAAATGTCAGTTTTCCTATGGTTAGTTAATGGCATATTGCAATGCTAGTCAACTTCCATGGTAAAATTAAGGGCTAATTAAAATTTTGAAGGTCTGTTTATTTCTCTTCATTACCTTAATCTCTAAGATCTAAACTCAACATTAAGGTAGCTAATGTTTTGTTTTTCTTTGAGGACGTTAATAATAAATCTTGAATAGATGTATAGAAAAGAAAAGAGGAGAAGAAGTTATATAGATCATGTAAGGGACGGAGCCAAAATTTCTACTCAAGGGGATAAAGTATAATTAACCATATAAAATGAAGGGACAAAATCAAAATAAACTAAATTTTTGAACCCTAATTTAATATGTTTCTGTATACTTTTTAGTAGAAAAAAATATGTAGGCCGTTTTTAAAATTTTAGTGGTCCTGGGACAAATATAGATATTGGACCTCTAATAAAAATATTGTAAATAAAATTGAATTGAAAGAATTAGGACAAATAAAACAATTTACTTATAAATTATATTTTTATTACATTTAAAAAGATATATAATAAATATTTCAAATTTCTTACATAAAACATCGAAAAGTTTTATTGAACACCCAATTATCCAAACAAAACAAGCATAATCCTCTTTTAAGAGTGTTAGAATTCAATTTCAGTCATCTCCATCTTGTAAAATATAATAAAAAATAATTATGTAGAAATTAAATAAATAATTTAAAAATACTATATCATCATTGGCGTTAATTTTTAAAAAAAAGATATACTAAAAACAAAAACAAAACTTAACATTAGGTATATTTTTAAAATAATAATAATTATATGATCAAAACAAAATGAAGTAATTGATGAGTTGGTGCCCCTCCTGCCCAAGCTTAAATACAGTTCTGACAGTGATCCCGCGGGATGAAATATAACTTCGTCCTTGGATCATACGACATAAGCACCAACTTGTATAAATAAGTATGGACGAACATAAGATTTTATGTTAGAAATAAATTTATAAAATTTTAAAGGTGACAATAAATTATCAATAAAAATATAAAAAATATATGAAATATATGAAATCTTAAAATTTTTAAAGAGGCGATGTCCTGATTCCCTCCAGTCGATCACTGTACATAAGAAAGGACGTATTACCAAGAATTTGCTTAGCAATATATAAACATATACACACATTAAGAATCTTTAAAGTAGTAAGTTTAGAAAAGAAATTTAAAAGTAGTATATATATATATATATATATATATATATATATATATATGAATTACGGAATTGAATATTAGTATATTCGGCATACGTATTGTAGTAGAAGTGGGAGAGTTATGCCATATATATAAATAATATTGGGCAAAGTAAAGATTAAGGTTAAGGGTATGATCCAAAACGTAAGGGTTGTGCAAAGGAGAAGCAACTTTTATTTGCTTTAGGGTTTAAGAATTAGAATGAAAAAACTAAAGCAAAATCTTCACTGGGAAAAGAGATGAGCACTTCTTTTTATGCTTAATTTTTGATGCGTTTTGTTGTCAAAAAGATAACTTTTCCTTTTTATTTTATTTTTGCAAACCCGAAACATTCTCTCTTATTTAGGGAAAAGCATTAAAAAGTTGTGATAGTACCAAATTCAAAGCAAGCATAATTTACTACCAATAATAGCAGTAAATTTAAAATTAAGATAAACAGAGAAACAAAATTACCATATGAAAGAAAAATTAAAGATACTAAAGCTATTTTGAAATATAAATGAAAAATATATATCAGAATTACTATTTTTATTTTTAATTTGTATAATCGGGAATAAATTTCCATAATTTTTTTACTTTAATAACTCAAAATAATGATCCATAAATTTTGCAGAAAAGTATTAAATATAACGCCTCAAATATCGTGTTAGAAATTTCGAGCTAAACCGAGAGGGTTTTGGATAAACCCAATAGCCTTATGGGAAAGCTTAGTTCAACTTTGTTTTGGAATGGGCTTGGTTTGAGCCCTAATAGA